GTCAAATGCCTTTGCATAGTCAATGAAACACAGATAGACATTCTTCTGGTATTCCCTGATTTCAGCTAAGATCCATCTAACATCAGCTACAATATCCCTAGTACCACAACTCCTTCTAAACCCAGCTGGGACTTCTGGCAGTTCTCTGCTGATGTGCTGTTCCAGTCGTTTTTGGATAATCTTCAGTAGAATCTTGTTTGCATGTGAAATCAATGAGATTGTTCTATAATTTCCACACTCTGTTGGGTCACCTTTCTTTGGGATGGGAACAAATAAAGATCTCTTCCAGTCAGTTGGCCAAGTGGTTGTTCTCCAGATTTCTTGCACAACTTGGTGAGCACATCCAGGGCAGCATCTGTTAGCTGAAATATCTCAGTTGGGATACTATCTATTCCTGGGGCCTTATTTTTTGTCATTTCCTTCAAAGCAGCCTGAACTACTTCTTTCATCACCATAGGCTCTTGCTCATATGTTGTTTCATGAAATTCTTCTATGTCTGCCAATTCCTTTTGATACAGTGACTCAGTATATTCTTTCCATCTTCTTTTAATACTTCCTGGATCATTTAACAGTCTGCTGAAAGCATCCTTGATTATAGCAACTCGAGGTTTGAATTTGTTCTTTCTTCACTTCCTTGAGCTTAAGAAATGCTGAGCGAGTTCAGCCCTTTTGATTTTCTGACTCCAACTCCTTGCACATTTCATTGTAACATTTTACTTTGTCATCCTTTGCTGCCTTTTGAAATCTTCTATTCAACTCTTTAGTATCTTGAATTCTTCCTGTGCTTTGGTTCCTCTGCGCTCCAGTGCAATTTTCAGAGTCTCTTCAGTAGGCCTGTTTTAATCTGTGATAAAGAAGTTTATGAAATTAGGATAGAGGGCACTGAGCAACACATGACATGTAAGACCCATCTGAAGTAAAGCTCCTTGAAATCAGCAAGGAGGTTGTTTTAAAGAAGTTCTTAAGAGATTTCTTGTTGAGAATGTTCCATTAATTTATAAGGGTGCTTGCAGTAGGGCCTCCATTCATCAGCCTGGTGTGTCCATATCTGCAGATGAGCACGAGGACTGTAAACTGCAGCTTCTCGGGACAGGATGGCCACCTGAGGCTGTCATCCCCCTCACCCTCCCTCTTCTGCTTAGGAAAGTGGTGATCCTGGGTGGTATCTCCTGGATCCTCCAGAAATAACCTGGGCTAGCCAGGGGCAAGCAGAGCCCTTACTTGTGTTTTCTAGACAGTTTTAGCACTCTGTAGTGTTCTGCACATTGCTAGGTATTTCCTAAAGAAAACAACTAACTCTGATCCCTGTAACGGAGCAGAGCTGCTTTTATGGGTAGAAATTCCCTTGTGACTTTCAGCAGCTCCTCCATGCACACATAACCAAAAACTAGACACCTGCCATCGAGTTGATAGTGGCCCTGAAGGAGGAGGTGGAATGTTTCCAAGGCTGTACATCTTTATGGAAGCAGACTGCCCCTGAGGTGTGGCTGGTGGGTTCAGACCACTGACCTTTGGGATCGCAAAATGCCTTAACCATAATGCCATCAGAATTCGTCTCACATATGTACACACACCCCCAAACAGATCTGTAAAGATTTCTTCCTAATAAGTCTTAATCACTAGGGCCTCGCAACGGGAGCGTGTAATTCCAACCCTGGCCATGCACAGATATTGTAGATTGTTGATTGATGTTGAAATGCTGGATTGTGGGTTCTCACCTTCCTTATCTGAAGCCACACTGTGGGGGCAGGACCTTTGGGAGGTTGAGTCTTGCCTCCTGGTCCGTAGGGGATGGAGAGCCCTCCAGGTGTGCTGTTTCTGCCCTTCTGTTGGGGTCACGATATGTGCCTGGAGCCAAGAGCCAAGCTGGGCAGTCAAGACAGCATCCCATGATGAGAAGGAACCTGCCTGGCAGAGGAGGGATGATGAGCAGAGGTAAGATGGGCAGGTCTCGCCCCCACCTAGCCCTTGCTCTCTCCCTCCAGAGTGACTGATGTGATCTTTGCGACTCCCGGAGGCTCTGACCAGACTGACACCTTTTGGTTTTTGTCTGAAAATGACCACTGCTCTTGAATTAGTTTAAGCTCTGTAGGAGACCTTCCTGCTGTTCCAGGGAGTTGAATGGTTACCTCTGGTGTACACTGCTGTTCAGATGTTGGCTCCTCACTTATTTGGCCGCCTTCAGTGTTTACACCTAAGGTAGGGCACCCACGGAATCAGTTGGGAAGCTATGAGGTTGATGCGGTGCCACCTCCATGTGACTGCGGGGGAGGCTCCCAGTGCTGGTCTAACCCGGGTCTTGTCCCATCACTGTTGTATTGTCCGAAACTTCAGCCACAAGGAGACTCATCAGGGCCAAGTTTGCAGGGGTCCAGCACTCCCAACTGCTGACAAAACTGTCTTTTGTTTCTTCCATGCCTTTGCGTGTTTCCTCTCTTCTTGTCCTTATCCCCGTGCCCACCTCCTGTTGACCAGCTCCATGCTGTCATCTGGTCCTGCAGCACTGCCTCCTCTTCTTTGCCTCGAGTGCAGAGGCTGTCATGATGGATGACGTTGTTTTCTCAGTTGGTCTCCAGTCTGGGAGGGATCTTTTCCTTTAGGAAAGAAAAGTAGAAAAGAATCCTTCCAGAGAGCTCTTGAAACCTCATCCTGTTCTCAGCGTGTGTTGCTGCCCAGCCTCAGCACATGCTCTGCTTCTCATCTTCTCTTCATAGCTGCATTTTCCACAAGGTGCTGTAATTGTACAATTCATTAGTATAAGAAGGGTTTCTGTCAGATTGCTTCTGTTTTCTGATTTGAGCAGTTGTAGAGAAACATAGGGCTTGTCTGTGTTGAAGTTGCAAAGACTTGAGGTTCTCTGAGCGTGCAGGTGCCCCAGCTCCCTGGATGGAGTCACTGTGGAAACAACTCTGTCAGTCCCATTCTTTCTGGGGGGAAATAGGATCTCTTCTTTGAGGTCAGATCTGAGCTGTGGACCAGCATGTGACCCTGCATTTGTTGTGCGAGGCACCCTTCCCTTGTAGGAGATGTTTTACAGTCCTTGTCAAAGAGTCCTGAAGCACTCTTACTTGAGACAAGTCAACACTCTGGAGGAACACTGGACAACTTCGAGGCTTCACCATAGCCTTGTGGTAGCAGATTAAAGGAAAGGGGAGCATTTTCTTCTCTGCTCTGTGAAAAACCTTTATGTATCATTAGACCCAGATTGAGAAACTCGCGATGTATTATGTTCAGGGCCAAAGCATTATTATATTTAGATAAAAGAATTTTGTCATTGGGAGGCTAAGTAGTGTCCTTGAGTATATTGAATTGGTTCAGTTTTTTATACTAATTAAGAACTATTTTATTTCTATTTTAGTGAAAGTTTACAGAAAACTTGAATTTACTTTCATTCATTGTTGTACATTTTCCTCCCTGTCCTGCCCCCCAGTTCGCTTTTCTTTTTGAAAAGATTCTTTCATTGTTGTACAATTTCCTCACTTCCCCTGTTGTCCAGTCCACTTTGCTATGCACCTCTTATTCTGGACTGTTGTCATGCAGATTATACCTAATCATGTATTTCTTTTAGACAGTTCTTTCCCTAATCTGTTTCAATGCAATGTTCATTATTTATCCCTTCTCTTCTTAATTTCCTCTCAATACCCATGTCAGTCCTGTTTTATTACAGGGCAGTATTCATCCTTTTGTAACTGGAATATTTCACTCATCATAATATCCTCCAGTGTCACCCATTTTGTAGAATACTTATGAGTTCATTCTTTTTCAGTGCTGTATAGTATTCCATTGTGTGCATATACCACAGTTTCTCTAGCCATTTGTTTGTTGATAGGCACTTGGGTTGCTTCCATCTCTTTGCTATTATGAACAACACAGCAATAAACATGGGTGTGCATATATCTGTTTGGGTGGCTAATTAAGGAATTTTTGTTGCTCTGTAATGGTGGGGAGCATACTTGCTTCAATTGTTGAGCTTAACTAGGGATGCTGGGCCTGGTGAGTTTTGATACTTGAGATAGTATCTCTTCTTGGTTTCTCCTGGTGCAGAGTCATACATCTCTCTCATCAATTTCACAATCCTTAGAATCTGCCCAGTTTTGTTAGGCAAGAAATTATCTCCTCATAGACCTCCTCTCAGGAGATGGCATTCATTCCTATGGAAAAGGCTGCCTGGCCTAGCATCTCATGCTGTCTGGGGCCAAGTTTTCCCCATGGTCAGTGTGCTCATTAAGTGGTATCTTCTGTGGTGCCAGCAGATAGAACAAGGTCCTTGCCCAGTGCAGCTCACAGTGGGAGTGGAGGGCCTGGATTTCCAGTACACAGCCGGCTCTTCATCTGTTCCTCCAGAGCTCTTTGGTTCTGTCCCATGATTCTGAAATGACCCACTGTCATTTTCTTTTCTGAATGGTAATTATGAAACAGATTTTGATCTTAGAATGATAGTGGTTATGTATATGTGCACTGTAAAAATCCTAGAGGGCAGGACAAAGGGATTAATCATTGTCATAGTTACAGCTGATAATGACTGATTTGGGTAAATTGGAGAAACTAATTTTTTTTCTTGTGACTGTTCTGGGAAACACGTATTACTTACCATGTTGAGGCACAGTGAGATCAGCGATTCACCCACCCCGGGCTGCACAGGTGACAGAAGCTTCTGGATGGTGCAAGTGGTTAAGGGTCAGAATCCATCCAGAGGAACCTGAGAACTCTGGGGCAGTTCTGCTCCACATGGGGCAACCATGAGCCAAACTTGACTCTACATTGACTTGACAGCAGCTAACACTGCACCACCACCATCACACAGGTAGCGAGAAGCAGGTCAGGACGCAAATAATCTGTGTGACTCCAGATCCATCATTTTCACCCCTAATCACCATGCTCTGTTAAAGAAGGCCTTTTACTGCGAGACTAGGAGAATGTTTCTAATTGTCTTTTTGGTTTTCTTGTTTAGGGTGACAACGTCAGGGGTGATGGAGAACATGAAGAAAGTCAAGAAGGTGACCAATGGCTCCGTGGAACCTCAGGGTGACTGGGAAGGCTCTGCGTGAGGCGGCCAGCTCTGCGGAGGGCACTGTCTCAGACAACTTTAATTTATTCATAGTCCTATTGGTGAACACAAGTAGTTGGCACCTCCCAGCAGTGACACTCCTGAGTTTGTGACTGGGAGCCATGTGCCATGGAAACCCAATTTTCCTCTTTTATGGATACCAACTCTGTGGCTGGTTATAGGCAGCTAGAATTCTCCTTCAGGTGGGCGCAGTGATGAAGGGAATGTAGAGAGGGGGAAGATAAAAGGAAGGATTTCTTTTTCATTTTTGTTCTTTTTTTTAACTCCGGAGCTCTTAAGGTTTATGCAGTTGTGATCCTCCGTGACTTGGCGGAAATGTTGGTGATCGTAAGGGGTGGGGCCAGGAGGGCCGATCACAATCCAGGTGGAAGCTTTAGGATGTGAGCAAATGTCAGGCAAGAATATAGGAATTCAAGAAGGAAATTGGGGAAGTTATCAGATCCTTGGGGAACAAAAATGAGTGAAATGCAGTTCTTTTGGGAAGCAAAGTAGACATTGCCTTGGTCAAAACACCACAGACCTTTGCCCCGTGATTCTTGGCTCTGAATGTTGCCCTAGACCTTTATCCCAGATTCCAAATGTGACCAGGAACTGACAGCATTGAGGACCATCTTTCCAGGCACATCTCTGCTATTTGGAGGCTGTAATGTCCCTGCCAGGGTCACTTGTAGTTGGTGGGAATTAGTTTTCTTGATTGAAGTGTACTCTGTGTTGCCTGATAGATGGAAGGACATAGATTTTTTTTTAAAAAAAAAAGCAACTCTTGCACGTCTTTTCCTGTAGGATTTCTCTGAACATCTGCTTCACAGACGGCCCTAGGCAGCACTGTCTCTTGTTTTCAACTCTTCTGGAAGCGTGTGTGTCTTGTATGCTCAGAATAAGGAGAGTAATGGGAAGGAATTCTGCTATTTTGGGAATGGCTGAGAGCAGAAAAGGTAGTGTTAAAGCAAATTCTTAATTGCAAGCAAGTCGTCTTCATTAAAAAGCTTTTCCTATGAGCTAAATGGGATTTTCAAGTAGAGGATTTAAACAGACCTGATTCCTATATTACACAATTATGTATGTGAAGATAGTGAGTGCAGTTAAACAGATTAACACTCAGGGATTTTAGACCATAAAATCTTTCACCAAAATTTAGCAAAGTCTCTTAACAAACATTCACTGTAGACATGATCATGGATAGTTTCCTGCCGTGAACAGTGTACCCCTTGGTAATCATGTGAATTATGGAGTAAACTCAGAAGATCTGTTGAGACTTAGGGCTTACCAATGCTTGATGGTAATTTCCCCATTATGTTTTGGGTAGCCTAGATCTGGGACAGGCTGCCAGAAAGTGGTCCTTTCAGGAATAGCTGATGCTTGGAGTACCAGCTCATTGGAATTGCTCTAAGTGCTAGGTTAAGTCGGAAGCCAAGACCAACCCCCTGCCTCTATGTGTCTGTGAACCCCCCCTCTAGGGGTCAGGAGATCCCTTGGAGGAAGACAGTGACAGTCTCCAGGACTTACTATCTTACCTTCAGTTTGGAATTGTCAGTCAGAAACATGGGCTTTGGGGTAGCAGTCACACTCCTGGGTTTAGGAAGCAAGAAGATTACTCAGAAAAGCTGTTCTCCTTCGTCTGTGCCATTCTCATTTCTTTAGTGATGAGTGAGGAGACACGCGTTCTCTTTCTGCACTTTGATCCATCCATGCTCCGTCCAGCCAAATCTCCCTGACTAAGCACAGGCAAGGGTGGGCACCTTTGAAGGCCACTTTGGCCACCTCTGCACAGATAGTTTAGAAAAGAGTTTTTGTGTATCTTCAGAAAGGCAATAATAATCTACCCTAAATTAATTTAAGGGACCATTTTTTTTCTTCTTTTAAATTTAAAAAGTGTGTTTTTTGTTGTGGCCGCCAAAACCCTCTTATTCATTTGCTCCAAGGGATGCCTGCTGCCCTTTGTCCTGCCAGCACTTGTTGACTTCTTGGTGAGAACCTAGGGTGTTGCCAGACCTCCCTGCTAAGAGGGGTCTCTGTAGGTGTCATCCTGTAATGTGCTTGGCTTTTAAAGCAGAGAAGCTAGTGAGTGAGTGAGGGGGAGAAGGTGAGTGTGTGCAGACCAGCGCTGTCTTTCTCAATGGATACCTCCATCCCCTGCCTCCAGCGCTGGCAGGTGGAGCCCTTGCCCGGAAGGGGGTGCTGCGCTTCTCTGGGGCAGGCATTCTTTCAACCCCACGTGCACCTCTAGGCTCCTTCACAGACTCGCTGAGTAGCTGCATTTTTATGACTCTGCCCCTCTAGAGCAGGAATGTACAATAGAGAGATGGTAGTGTTTGGGAAATAAGACTGGCTAAAGTCTTCCTAAAAGAAGTGTTGTAACTGGTAGAAAGTTTGATGTTAGGCCAATGATAACAAAACCAAAACGCCAGGCCCAGAATTGGGAAAACAGCTTCAAGGTTGTTTTAGAAAACATTATTTTCTGTTTTCCATTCTGCTTAATAAATTATTCCTTTTCTCCATTACTTAGTAACCATGACACTCCATCCAGCTCTCTCCCAAGATGGTTAGGTCCAGAGCCAGAGCCCAGGGTCTGACCAGCCACCCCGCCGCCTCCTGCAACCCTTGCTTCAGCAGTCCACATGGATTCATTGTAATCACAGTGGTTGAATGGTTAAGCCCTTTAGTATTTCAGGGGTTGGGTGCACATCGCAGAATGATTGGTGGTATTTATAGCTGTGCTTTGTACTCCACCTCCCGATTTCTGCCTACACAAAATACTCATGTTTCCTTTGAGAAATCCGTGGTGACCGAGAAGTGCTGCTGACTGTGAAATTAAGGAAGTGTACAGGGTCTCGTTTTCCGTTACCAAGGTGGTGTGTATTTTGATAGGAAATGATTTCTTGACTAACAGGAACAATAAATGATCTCTTTGTCTTGGTTCTTAACTGTAACTAAAGACTCGGGCAACCTCTTCTTGGGCTTTAAAATTCTAGTAGCAATGCATTTTATGTTGCCGCTGTGACTGATGAGTTGGCATTACCTGTAAAGAGAAAAGGTGGTTTCTCAGACCACAGCCTGAGTCAGTTCCGTTTCTTTCAAAAAAACCACTTTGGAGTGAGTGTCCAGGTCATCTCCCTTGAACATGTCCACCCTGCCAGAGCAGCACAGCCTGATCACACGCCACCTGACCTGGTGGTGAGAGCGCGACTGCCGTGCCCATTTATGACCCTCAGTAGAAGCTCTGCCTTCGCCTGATCTGCAGCCTGTCCTCCTCCTCCTCTTCCTCCTCTGGCACCCCTCCCCCTCAACTGCATCCCTCCTCCTCAAGTGAACCCCTCCTCCTCAACTACACCCCTCCTCCCCTTCCTCCTCCTTCCCCCTTCCTACTGCACCCTCCCCCTCCCACACCCCTACATCTCCTTCCCCTCCTACACTCCTCCTCCTCCCCCTACTCCACCCCTCCTCTCCCCCGTCTGCCCTTACTGATTGAGAGCTGCACGCAGGCTAGGTCTGGGAATGCGGGCTAAAGGCTTTGGTGCATTGCAGCATTTTCTCCCAGCAGCTTGATGAAGGATGTCTTTTCTAAGCTAAGGAGAATTTTCTCAGGAGTGAGTTAGTACTCATGCCATATATTATTACATTGGAATATATATGGTGTCCTTTCCCATCACTCAGTGTATGTCTTATTCTATACTTAAAAGGGTCAGCTATACTGAATCAGTCTTTATGAAGCAAAGAGGAGTTTTAAGAGACATAATTTATCAGCAATGGTGTTCTAGATGCCCCCCCCATCCTAAAGTGTTTTGTTCAAAGAAGGGCTCCTAGAAGATTAGGCAGCCTCCTGGGGCCGTCAGCCCTGCCCTGCACACCGGGCCACGCATCACGTTGCCAAGCTGATGGAGTTCAGAGGAAACTGATCCTGCCTCCTCCCTCTCTCCACACGCCACACCTCAGCCTTTTGCTCTGCCGTGCGCTACACCTGACCTTGTAGTAGAGACTCACATACACCAAGTCTGCCATGATGATGCCTGGTTTGAGTTTTTTCCCTTTTTCTTTTTGCCTTTAAAATCCAGTCAGTTAATTGTTTCCTCATTAAAGGAGTTAGACTCTGACTCAGGACCTCTTGGTCCTGAGCATACTCATCTGGAACATGCCAGTGTTCCGAAAGAGCTGCTCTTTACCCCGGTGAACACCTGGCGTGTTTTTAGCAGGGAGCTTTCCGAAGATACCCACCTTAGTTGATCCTGTAATTCTGTATTTGTCACCCACTGGAAGGTGGTTATTGATCAGTAAACCAAATATCCTCCAAATTCCCCAGGGGCCTCTTCTGTAGCGCAGCACTGCATCTGTGCCCTCTCTGCATGGTTATGTGTGAAAAGAGATTGTTTTTGAAGGACGCCCTGCTGGGGCGTGGGGCGTGTATGTCTCCTGAGAGCAGGAGAAGCCTCACTGAGAGTAGGCAGAGGTAAAGGATATGGATTTGCTTATGTTGAATCAGAAACTTCTGATGATAAGTTTTCAGACAGGCTGTTTGGGATAGAGGGTTTCCAGATGAAGTAGGTAAAGGTCAAAAGGATATGGGATAAAATCCCCAGGACAGTCAGCTTATTTTCTTGTTAGCACTGCAGCTTTGTAGTGAACAGTCAGACTAGGTGGAGGCCAGGGCTAGGGGTTAGTACGGCCTACCACCTTAGCATTAAGGTACCATTGCAGAAGGATCCCCAAATCCTGCCCACATAAGGGAGTTTCCTGACAGCTTAAGCAGCTTTTACAGAGTGTAAATTGGATTTGCCTCGTCATACGACCTCGAAAGAAGTCAAACATACTTAATCCAGAAGTAAGTTTCATTTAGAGGATGACTTGCAGGTCTGTAAATACCATTTTGTTTTCTAGGTTAGAATGGGATACAGAAGGCATTTTCAGTATTTTTTTAACACTAATTGTCACCAAGGAGTATTAATGTAAACACAGCGGGTCAGAGTTCAGATCAGGATGAGGCATGGGATGAATTATCTTGCTGTGATGCAAATGTGTAAAATAAAGATTCTGT